CTGGGTCCAGCTGGTCCACACCAGGCCTCCATTCTTCAGGAGCTTCTTCTTTAATCAGCACCATCTGTTCAACATGAGCAGGAACCAGAAACACATTAATATTAAGAAAAGAAAAGAAAAGAAAGGAAAAGGAAAAAAAAGGCTTTATTTTCCTGCGCAGGGAAATTCAGGTGTGTAGCAGCAGTAGATACATACATCAATCCACAGAAACACTGTGACATTATCAGCTGTAGCAATAATAATAGAATTAAAGATAATAAAAATAAAAAAATAAACATTGATCAAAATAAAAATAAGAATTACTGTACTGGACTATCAAGATGAAATTGGATAAAAATGAAAATAAAATCAAGATTCTGTGCAGACAAATATGAGTAAAAAAGTAGTCATGACAGTCATTAATGACAATAACTTAACCAGGGCTCTCATGTGTCACGCACTGAGAGTGAGACGCACGCATCTGAGGGTTTTACACTTTCTCACACTGAGAACTGATGCCAAAAACTCAACTCCAGTCCAGTTTATCATTATAAAAATACAAGTATTGATATAATCCCCTCCACGTTTTCACCGCAACCCGTGGTGTTACACAGGGACGTGCCAGGTTGTTATCCAGTCCGTGTTTTCTCACCAACCTTCCATCTACCTGTAAACAGTAGGGCTGTGTATTGGCAAGAATTTGGCGATACGATACATTTCATAACAGAGGGGTCACGATACGATATATCCCGATAGATTGCGATATATCATGATTTTTTTTGTCCAAAAATTCTATTAAATAAAAACCTCTTACTGAAATAAAAAAAAAGAAAAGCTAATGTTTACTCACAATGCTAATGCTACCCTTACTCTCTGGCGCTCAAGAGGTAGAGGAGCCAAATGGCTGGTTCCAACTAGTGGTCAGAGGCTGAACTACAACATAAAAATGAACGGTTGGCAAGAAGGTTGACATTTTAAACCTTAATTAAAAATCAATACAGGGCTTTAGAATATCGATACAGTATCGGGAAATGAAATATCGCGATATTTCAGTGTATCGATATTTTCTTACACCCCTAGTAAACAGTGGCTCTGTGGAGTGAGAGAGCATGGACCTGCAGACGAGGAAACCCGATGTGCTCCCTCTTCCAAATTAAAAAAGAGAACGAAAAGAGGTGAGCATCACGGGTTCAAACATGTTAGAAAGAAAGGAGAATGAGATGAATGGAGCAGAGAAACCATGAGGGAAAAAGTTTGTGTGAGTTGCAAATGAGTTAAATAAATAAATTATTCTCTGTGATGAAGGAGCCGAGGTCAGACTGAAGTCATCTGAGACACAGAGACCCAACAGAATGGAGGTTYGTTTTTGTTTAACATTTGCTTTGTTTTTATAAAAAGCTGCTTGTTTAATAAGCTTTTATAAACTGATTTATGTTTTTATTAGGAATGCGCGATATAAACGATATACGGTAGAAACGATATAAATTTGTCCTATGATAGAGATCTGTAGTCTATCGGACAACCGCGCAATTCTTTTTGATGACTTAACCGGGTGGAGTCAAAACAGAGGAAGCAGCCTGGCTGAGAGCGCAAATGAGGAGGGGGAAAAATAAACACCCGAACCGGACCTGGTTCAGGTGTGCGAAAAGGAACGCCAAACTGTTTACATATTTTATGTGACGGCGCGTCCTCCGGTCGGACCGACCACGCTGCCTGCTGCGGGAGGAGCGCGCACCGCGGCACATGGTGACACAGCGAGGCGACAGTCAGTGCAGGTGAAGTAGACCTCCAGGACTCACAAAAGCTCGCTGAGTCTGGACCTCGTTCGTCCTGCAGTCATAGCGCGACGACGCACGCCCAAATGCGCGCGCACTCCATAGCGCGACTATAAAACTATACTATCAAGTCGGCTCTGCAGACTTCAGTAGCTCATAAGGATCGCTACTTTCAATTAGGGATGTCCCGATACCACTTTTTCACTTCCGATACGATACCGATATTACAACTTTGAGAAATGTCCGAAACCGATATTGACCGATACCGATATTGACCCGTTACTATAACAGTGCAAGTCACACA